CTCTTATTGATTTGAATTCATGTTTTGTTATTGTGGGTTTTGTTTTGTTGCTTGTAGCCAGTCCCTATTTGTTTTTTCTTGAACTTGTAAAGAACTCCTATACCACAGATCTATGGTTGGGTATGTTGTTTCACTGGTGAGATATTATAGCGGAATAACAAGACACATTTCGGCAGTCTTACATGTTTAGCTAATGAAGTACTGGACCAGTAATAGAGTTAAAACGCATACAACAAAAACCAGACAAGGGTGTATAAACACGGGGGAGGGGTGTCTAATGAAGTTAGTATGTCATGATAAACTAGTCTAGCTTCATCGTCATTAATAAATTCAGCCATTACTAAGGCAGAAATCAGAGATGTCATATTTAGAATCTGGCATCTGGAGTGAGCATGACTGATTTGCTATAGAGCAAGGGCGATATACAGGTGTGTCACACTAAGCCTCCAACTCATTGACACATTAACCAAAGACTCTTTATCTTTCATTAAATGGTATGTCACAGTGTTCGTGACAGCATGACAATGAATACCCATCAGTTCACTTGCAAGCAATACATAGAATCAGATCTATTTGGGCTTTTCCCTAATTGTCTGACCGAGAAAGTGTGTGGATGGAATTAACAGTGTGACGACTTTCACTCATTACCACACACAGTATTTGCCGGGATGTCAGGGTGGCGCACATGGCAACACCTATGCAGAACTACTCTGGTAGGCAAAATCTCCTCCGTATAAGCAGAGCCCCCACCAGTATTACTGATCTATCATGAACAACTTTTTCTACTACTCCATTTCTACTTCAACTACACAGACTACTCTATTCCCATCGAACAACTGCTTGTTAATTTCATCGCCGATACTGACAATGTTAGATTTTGATCACAAGTAACAGCGACTTTGGCAAACTTAGTCAGTGACATTATATTTTGAAATCTGACATGTTTCTTGCAATAAACAGTATGCAGTGTCAAAGAAGTGAAGAGTTATTAACATGTCACTAAATACAGTATAGGTGAAAAGAAATAATTAGGATATAATAGCATTGGGTTTGATAGCTACATTATGTGTGACGGTGATCAGGACCAGACCTTTTAATTGGGTCACCATACAGGTAAGCACATTATAACTTATTTAATCCTTGGGTATTGGAACATTGAGTAAACATAGTTTGCATATAGTACGTAGTAGCGATGATCGTTCAGCAAGATGTGTACTTAGACATATCAAGAGTATACGCCTAATTCAATCCTATCGTACTACCCTGAGCTGATCAGAAACAAGAAGACCGAATAAATGGTTTTATTAATTCAGCCAGTGCATTAGCCGAGAAGAAATCCAAACTGCTTATTTGCAGACTGATTCACAGGTTTTGTCATTGTCAGATTGACCGAAATAAATGCGGCATATTGGGTGTCATGTTTGTAATTACAATGTTACTATGTGTGCCGGACTGGCGCGTTCAAGTTTCTTAATCAGGTGACAGGACGAGGTATTTATTTAAGGCAAGGCAGAGATTATTAACTTATGTAGCAACTTTAGCGAGACAGGATTTTATTGACACTGAAAATCACAATATTAGATCTCCAAGTCTGACTATACGAAGTTTTACCAAAACAGTTTTATTTAAGACAAAAAAGTACACACTGATCCAGAACAGTATCTTAAAGTCGGAAACTCAGTATTACACTGTAAATCTATGTGTTTTAAAATAAGACACATTTTTGTCCCCACTTTATAATCATTTTCAAGTGATTTATAATGAAACATATTATAAGTGTTTTTCTTACAATTGCAAATGAGTTATTTTACAACACTACTGTTTTAAAATTAAACAAAATTAAACAGCTTGTCCCCACTTTAAAAACACTTAAAGTGTTTATAATCTGCATAATTGCGAGAAGTGTATATTATGAAAACACTTTTAGTGGAACATTTCAGGGATGTTTTTGCTCATAACACATTAGAAACACGATTTTAAAATGTGTTTCCACCATAAACATGGATATATATATATATACATGTATGTGCTTATTATCACAACACTTTTAAAAGTGTTTTTACTGGTCACACATTTCTAAAGTGTTTCCACCAGGAACATGTATAAAACGTGTTTATTATCACAACACTTTTTAAAGTGTTTTTACTAGACACACTTTTTGTAACGTGTTTCCACCAGGAACATGCATAAACCGTGTTTATTATCACAACACTTTTAAACGTGCTTTTACTAGTAACACATTTGTAACAGGAACATGTATAAAAAATGTTTATTATCACAACACTTTTAAAAGTGATTTTGTAAAGTGTTTATAACGACACGTAGAAAAATGTAAAAAACCGAAGACATGTTTTAACAGAGTGATTTCACTGGCCACACATTGAAAAGAGTTTCCACCAAAAAATATGTACTGAAAAAGTGTTTATCATCGCAACACTTTGAACAGTAAAACACAATATTGACAAGTGATCGTAACAGAGACACATAAACAAAATGTAGCAAATGATGCGTTTTATGATAAGGCAGTTTACACTATTGTACAGTAATCATAACAAAAAAAACCACATAATCAAGTAAGAATGTATTCATAAATATAAACATAATTAATGTTTCAAGGTTTCAACACTCGACTATGCATGTTTTATAAGTGTTTATGTATACGACATGTACACAATTTCATCAGTGTAACTAAAACACTTTTCTTACAAAATGTTTTGTCTTGAGGCACTTTCTAAAACAAACACACATGTAATGTTTCAAGGCAAAACACCCGACTGCATGTTTTATAAGTGTTTACATATATGACATGTACAAACGTTCATAAGAGTAACTAAAGCAATTTGCTTTGAAACTATTTTAATTTGAGGCACTTCAGAAAACAAACACACATGCAATGTTTCAACCTAAAACACCCGTCTAAATACAGGGCACTTTGTATGCTTTTTATGGTATGCATCTATAGTGTACACAGTCATACTGTGCATGCGATAAATTTATTGATTTTAATATTTTGCGAGTGTGCATACCATGGACCTGTCACAAGTTTAATAACCGATGGAATTACACATGCATGGTGTTGTAATCTGGACGACGTTGCTCTAAACAGGCATCAATTTCCTGTGATCTAGTCATTAAATCCAATGTCTTTACAGCTCTTATTCTAATGACAGAGCGTCGTTGTTGAATTGCAATATTGCGATGAACGCGCACCTGTGCGAATTTAAACAAGCTTCTCTAAGCCTCTAATAATACATAACCATTCAATTGTTATTTAGAAGTGTAATTATACAATAAATACAATATGAAAAGAAATATTAAATTAGAAATAAAATTAGTTTGCTACTTCTTTTCAAATATAACATACATTTCGAAAACGATGGTGGTCCTTAATGTATGTTGCGTGTTCAAGTAACTGGTAACTTTTGTCGTGCGCACGCTTATTCATGATTGAATTATACTTTTGGGAGTGTGTGAATAGGTGGCATACTCGTTAAAGAAGCAATAACAAGAAGGGAACTGGAAGTTATTCTAAACAAACCTGAAGGTATGATGATATTGTTACTCCGTTATGAAGCGTGTGGAAAGTGTAATTGATAGAGCCAGCGTCGGCAGTTGTGTCCTACATTGATATTTGCAGCGGCCCCATTCATTTCTCTATGTGAGGGATAACTGATTAAACGCAAGTTCGTGACAATAGTCGTGATTATAAACACGTTACAAAATGTGTCTAGTAAAAGCACTTTTAAAAGTGTTGTGATAATAAGCAAATTTTTATACATGTTCCTGGTGGAAACACTTTACAAATTGTGTGTTTAGTAAAACCACTTTTAAATGTAGTGTGGTAATAAGCACTTTTTACAAATGTTGTTTCTAGTGACACCAATTTACATAATGTGTTATTGGCAAAAACATCCCTGAAATGTTGCAATAAAAGTGTTTTCATTATATACACTTCTCGAAATTATGCAGATTATAAACTAAAGTGTTTTAAAATGAGGACAAGCATATAAACACTTTAAATATTATATCACAAAACAGTAAAAATGTTTTATTTTAAAACAGTAGTGTTGTGAAATAACTCATTTACGATTTTACGAAAAACACCAAATGTGTATAATTATAAATCACTTAAAGTGAGATTTCAAAGTGAGGAAAAAATGTGACATATTTTAAAACACCTATATTTAGAGTGTATATGTGTAAAAGTCACGGTAATGTAATTGTTTATGTCATTGTGTTATCCAATGTACAATACTATTTACTTTTCTGAGAATCTCCAGTAGATTTCTGAGTAGACACAGCGAGATTAGTTTCCAAGCTACCATATGATAATTGATAACCCCAATAACATCACGAAGTTTTTTTTAAATATCATTAAACAACGTTTATGTTAGGGGTAATAAAAAAAGAGATTAGATAGTGCCCTGGGCACTACAGTAGGTAGAAACGCTATTGTTTTATTTCCCTGTGCGGTTGCTACGTTACAATCAGCGCGCGTGACAGAGATATGTCAGAGACGATTTTATAACAAGTCGTTCGTGAGTACATTTGCTTCAAAATTACTGCTGTGTCGAAATACCTGGATCTACACATGCATGTTCAGATAACAAAATATACGGAGTTGTCTTTATTTTCATACTATGCAGCACTTAATACAGTATTTTCTGATTGGCTTAATGTGGTTTTACCAGAAGTAGATCTAGTTACCCCAACGGTTTCAGAAGTTGCACCCGTGCAATGGGTCGTTTAGAAAAATAATTCTTTTATCTCAGTTTCTTCATTTTTTATTTTAGAAAACAAAATAAAATAAATTCAGGATTGTAGTCATATAGATTCATTCTATTCCAAATTAGACAATCAACGTACCGTGCGTATCCTCCGCAATTATAAAATACATCAATTGCATGTGAATATAAAAATCTAAAAAAAATGTTCAACTAATTATTATTCCATGAACATTTTGTCCTTCTATTGAGCATGTACACTATAAGAAGTCTCACCTTAAGATTCCGTATGGCATTACCAGGGTCGTCTTCGGTTGGAAACAATTCTAAACCCATGAGTGTTATGTTATTAGCAACCAATGCCTCCGCGAGTACCTTTGATGCCTGGTGAAATACAAGTCGACGTTATCCAGCTACATATAGAGCAAAATGGTGGGTTTGGGGTGAAATATGTGTATGTGCAAAGCCCATTGCTAATGATTGTCTTACTTACTAATATTTGTTTTAATATCGGTTACCCTTGACATACTAGATACAACACTCATTTAGCCTTGATATTACCATCTATATTTAGTATATGCTGATTAATATTGAAGGAAGAGCATATAGTATTATCTGTAACTCCAAAACAGACTCTGATACAAATAGGGTTTTTGGTCAGTGCATGCCGTTTACGGTGGAGGATATAGAAAATAATGCCTTACTTGATTGAAAGAATTGTCGTCTCGATGCATAATCGCCACTTGTTTCCACCCAAATTGTCTCAAAATGGCAATACGTGCTGGTGCAAATAGTGTTTGCGGCATGGCTGTCCGGAAATAGAATGGAAACCTTGAACGATCGGATAATTCTGGCCAATTGTTACTACATGCAATCTGAAACAAAATCACAACACACAAATTTGCCCTATTAATTAACATTTTGACAATATAGGTTTGTGTTATGTACCGCCTTCACGGTAACTATTTCCAGGTTCAATTGACAGAACATTCACAGGGCAACAATTTATTTCACAAGACTAAACTTTAAATTTGCAGAACCAAACTATCAGTCTACAGAACACGAGGGAATATTCTGTGAATTTAAAAATATACTGAGAATGTCTTGTGAATTTTATAGTTATGCCCTGTGAAATTAAAGTTATGTCCTGTGAATTTAATGTTTTGTCTTGTGAATTTAAAGTTATGTGCTGTGAATTTAATGTTTTGTCTTGTGAATTTAATGTTTTGTCCTGTGAATATAATGTTTTGTCCCGTGAATTTAATATTTTGTCTTGTGAATTTAATGTTTTGTCCTGTGAATGTAATGTTTTGTCTTGTGAATTTAATGTTTTTTTTGTCTTGTGAATTTATTGTTTTGTCCTGTGAATGTAATGTTTTGTCCTGCGAATTTAATGTTTCGTCTTGTGAATTTTAAGTTATGTGCTGTGAATTTAAAGTTATGTGCTGTGAATGTAATGTTTTGTCTTGTGAATTTAAAGCTATGTGCTGTGAATGTAATGTTTTGTCCTGTGAATATAATGTTTTGTCTTGTGAATTTAATGTTTTGTCTTGTGAATTTAATGTTTTGTCCTGTGAATGTAATGTTTTGTCTTGTGAATGTAATGTTTTGTCTTGTGAATTTAAAGCTATGTGCTGTGAATGTAATGTTTTGTCCTGTGAATATAATGTTTTGTCTTGTGAATTTAATGTTTTGTCCTGTGAATGTAATGTTTTGTCTTGTGAATTTAATGTTTTGTCTTTTGAAATTAATGTTTTGTCCTGTGAATTTAAAGTTCTGTCCTGTTAATTTAAAGTTCTGTCCTGTGAATGTAAAGTTGTTCCGACAATTGAGGACCACTGTAATAAAACGTTTATATTAATTTATAAATTATGATATAAAATAAACTTAAAAATATATTGAATCGTACAAGCGAACACCATCAAATCGATTTTACATAGAATTACTACGTTGTCAACGTTGTTTCATACCTCACAGAATTATGTGCTTGGCGGTGTTCTATTTCAGGCTCAATTCTGACGTCCACACAAAATAACATTTGCAATAAAGTGATCGGTGCTTACCTGTAAAAGATTCCACCATTTAGCCGTCTCTGCTAATGCAATACTCGATTCTGATTTCATTGCTCCAAAGAGCATTATTTTCTGTGGCGGAGACTGTATCATGTCAATTAAATACCGCATTGCCACACCCGCATCACCCTAATAAATAAAATACAATGCGTTAAGGAAATAGAGAAGATCTTAGAGTGATCTTGCAATATCTAATTTACTACATATCTTCTATATCCCATTTATTTACTTAAAAGCTAAAAACTAACGCAGACATCTTAGTTCATGAGCGCGCGCGTACTCAAACAGGGGCGGCGGCACGAAATGTTGCATGGGCGAGATCTGCTCACCATTCTTTGCGCCTCGTAGGCGTAGATGGTTGCATTTTTTTTAGGAAGCCCTACTGCCAGAAAATCATAAAGCGTCCTTTATCATTTGCTTAACCGCCGAGAATGAACACCGTTTTACACCGTTATTTTTGGCCCATAGTTATATTTTGGGTGCATTCAAGCATTAAACCTCCCACAATCTGTGACAAATGACCACTAGCCATGAGGGAATGATATGTGGTTTTGTTTTAGCCAACATCTTAGGGTCCCTCACCAATTTACATAATGTGTGAGGGCTGAGGTGTTACTGTCAGGGTCCAGGTTATAGGTGGGCTTTATGGATTTGTTTACAAATCATAACTATTTTAGATAGTCAGTAGTGACATTAAATCTATCAATTTGCTTGTATTGACCAATCAGATTGGAAATATAGAATATTATAACATTGAACTGCAATGATATATGGGATTAATCAGTCCCGTGGCAATATCAACCCAACGAGTGAGAGAAATATCATCTTGGGCTTTTCGTGTGTAGTATTCTTTTTCTCACATCACCTCAAAATACGTTGTTACAAAGAGAAAAACAAGCTTGATGCGTGTTTAGAGTCGCTAAAATGAGTGAATGTATTATTCCGCATCACAAAACGTACTTCTTAACATCCGCTGAATGTACAAGTGCCAAGCACGTAGAAATCAGATAATAATATATGTTTAACCTCACTGCATACACATTAATACAGATACATATTTAGCTGCTGAAGGAAGCAAAGCTGCCGATGTTTCACGCGCACGGGTAGGTGATGATGCCTGTACTGCCGGCACAATCTCTGTGGCAAATTCACCGCCGAACGATTCACGTCTTGCACACGAAATTGTGACATAATAGGTTCTGCATTTGGTATTGATATTTCATGTACTGACATTTATACATAGTGTGTGATTGATTTGGGGATCTCACAAACCAATCGGTCAGAGTTGTGATAAAAAACGAAGATACATATATGTGTGTCAATAAATGTATGTTCATTTCTATACAAACACATATAAGAGGGGTGGATTTCATATTACAGCTTACAATGTATTAATAGTATTAGGCATAAATTAGATACCTACATTAGTGTTCACTTCAATCAGCTCGATGTGGTAACCTGGTAGAATGCTTGGATCGTTGTTTATGTGTTCTATTGCCAATATCACTCCTGGGTATGCACCCCCTGCCCATATCAAATGTTGACCAGTTGTTATGAAGAATCCTCCAATGTACAGGGGTATTGTTGTGTTGTCGGCTGTGAACAGAAAATTATAGTCATTAGTGAAGAACACATACAATTGTCTAAATCTCAAATATTAATAGACTGTTACTGATGTATATCCTCCGGCACAGAAACACGTAATTGGTCGCATTGAATAACGCTTGGTGGGTGGGAATGAAACTTTATTTTATTACATAGTGCCCTAGGCACAATGGGAGATATAAATGCTCGTCTTTGTGAATTATAAATGTATGCTGTTCTTTGATGTGTGAACAAGATTTCAGAATGCTTTCGGTTTTCACCTTTTAGATATGGAAATTGTTGGTATTATCGATAATATAATTAACACATTTTCAATAATATTCATTTTTCATACGAATAATATCAGATAGGTAATAAGGCTGAAAACATAATAGTGCTACTCAGAGTCTGTACATATACATTATAGTATAAAACAAACAGTAATGTGCACGAATATATATATATAACTGCTATGTCACAATGAACAAAGTGAGCAAAAATAGTTTAAATATAATACACTGAAATTAATGTAATTTCAAATGACGGGGACTGAGACGCTTCTTTACTTTTGTTCGATGACATTCGTTAGACTACTATATAATACTTGAGGCGTTTGGATACTCTTGGTGCCCATATTGCCATTAAAACCAACCTAAAACGTAATTAGTGTAGTTGCAAGTTAAAATAGATTACATTTCGTAATTTTGCACCCTATATGAATCATTTCTTCTGGGACAGTTTTTCGTGAGCTAATTGTACATAATATCACGGCGCCAAAAGTACATATTTTCCACTGTTCCCGGATATAATTACTAGCATTTCACGTTATTTCTATATTTTGATTAATAACAGCTACTGTGCAGCATGAGCAATGCTTGCGGCTACGACCATCACATCACGTCGTGTCCGAGATCACACGTTGCGACTTTGATTTTCCAATAACAATACGTATGCATTCGTGAAAGTTCCGCATAAAATCATTGCAAGTCATTTTATAAGAAGCTTTCGGACATGACTGCTATTATGAAACGCCTACGTGAAAACTTAAGTGAAGCGGACTTGTTATATTTGTTCACAAACAAATGTACTTTAAATTTTACTCGTGTGAACAACCTTGTAAGTATGATGAAGCCCGTATTAACGACTGTGGTGATTTTAACGTCATTTAAAATGTACATTCGAGAATGTTTTTTCATATTAAACTCATCATTTGTTATTTGTAGCTTTTGATTCAGGCGATCTCATCTCTACAGTGTGAATACTGTTCTTAGAGTTCAGATTGTAGACACTGACACTAATGCATGGATTTTATCTGTCTTTATATTTGTTCAAAACGCATTTCAAGTTTTCAGACATGATGCTTTTAGGAGGAATCTTTATTTAACTATTTGAAAATAAACTACTATGCAGCTTTAACTTTAAATCCGCAGATGTACAGTATAGTATGCACTCGAATATATCCACCAGATTCGACCAATATTTTGAAAAATTTTAAAGTGGTGCATACTCAAGTATATGTGTTTATCTTTTTAGTTTTTGCAAATGGTTAATTTTATAGTAACATTATGCGGTAAAATATGAGAAATATTAATCTTGTAAGGAAGTGATCTTAATAACCTCAATAACCTAGCAATACATTTAGCTTTATAAAATGATTTGTGTAGTTTTGATATGCAATGCAATCCAAGCAAGTAGACCATTTGACAAATGTCGCGAATGACTTGTGGTTAGCAAGAATTCCATTCTTACTGTAAGTGAATCGTATCCATGTAGCAGTATCAGATTTCCCAGTAATACTTTTATCAAAACCAGAAGCAAACTGACAATTCATAACAGGAAAAATCAAACATGTGTATGTGTACCTCAATTAAATTGTCCATTAGATAGTTTTTCTTATAAACAAACTTGTTATTTACAGTGTTTGCACAGATTACCGAGTCCACCGAGTAGGAATATTAATTATGTTCACTTTTAGTGTACTTTTAAGTTTTATAGATTCAGTAAGGTTTCACTCAATGAAAATACGCAACCAAGTTCATTAGCCAAAGCATCATGGCATTCCCAGACGACCATTTTGCTTATTTCCACAGAACTGATCTGATATAAACTGTGCATACACTGATAATTTCCGTAACCACGACATATACGAAATTGCGAGTATAAATATTGTACTGCAAATATACCAAGAAATAATAGTCACTGAGATAATAACAGTATAGAAAGCCGCATTAATTTACTATCATATGCTATACCACATACAGTTGTTCTAATTTAAATTCACTCTCTGGAGCAGCATGAACTCCCACAAACGTATGATGCTTTTTATCTTGAATGTTAACTAAATCGCAGCACGCTTTTACAATTAAGGTGGTTAATGGTGTGTTGGTTGTTCACCTTTCCTGAATACATGATTGAGCAGATGTGGTGTCGTTTTTTAAGAGTTTCGTAGCTCCTGGAGTCTCGGTACATAATTGACGTAATTGACTAGACCAGACTCCTATTTCTTGCTCGATGATGTGGCAAAATTTTGCAGCCACCCAGCCAACTTCAATTCAATGTAGGTGGTTGAACAACATAATCACGGTCATAACATCAATAGCTATATATGCCAGATGTCAACATTTGCAATGTCAAATTGTGAGGTGAATTATATTAAGATGAAAAGATTCTGCTTATTCAAAATGGCAACTTTAAACTTGAGTTTGGTTGTCATATGTCTATGTGTTCGGTTTCCATGAAATGAGTAATAATACGTAGTAGTTACTAATAAAATATAATTAACCTTTACGAGCGGTGCCGATTGTGGTGAATATTCATTAAATGTCAACATAATTGCGTCTTTTCCTTTGCTTTAACGTCAATGATGCTGGAGGTATATCGCTCACAAATACACTCACGTGATATACATACTGACAGTACACGAATTGTTAACCAAATATCGGAAAAGCCAAAGAGATAATGACAATATCGTGCAATGCAATCTATTTTATTTTACATATTTGTTGCTACCCTTTTACATCAGGGGCTCACTAATAAGTAATTAGGAACTGCAATATAATTATTGGAAAAAAAAACCACATACTATATAAATGGAAAAAGAAACGGACAATTTAAAACTTAAAGAAAATACAAAAAAAATATCTTTTAAACTTAAAGTAAATGATTCTAATCTACATAATCTTTTCTATAATCCATGGCATCAATAAGAAATCTTTTCACAACTCTATCAATCTCTTCACATATCACACAATTGTAATGCTTGGTGATGTCACCTAAAAAGAAATATAGTACTGCTTTACCCTTTGTTTCGTCATTTTCACATATGATGTGACTAATATTTGTCGTATTTGTCATATTTTCCCTATGTTTTTGTAGCTTTCATACTCTAGAACCCTTTGTTCTGTAAGTGTTCTAGAGTTTCATAACCTTTCTTGCAGCATGGACATATACAATCACTATTGACATTTGCAAACTTTCAACTTATAGTTTTCAGCTGAATTTAAATATCTAAACATTAAACAGATATACACTCCATTTGGAACTGTTTGTCATGCAGGTCTTGCTGAACGAGTTCAAATGCTGAGGCCAGTGTTGTATTCGAAGTTACGGGCACACATAAACATGAAACACGAGATTTTAATTCAACTCAGCAAATACGCCTTACCACTGTAAGCAGACGCGCACCCCGTTACAGCACATTGAACCCCCCCCCCCTTTCACCCAAAACAGTTTGACTTAGCGTGTAGTGATTGAGCTTTATACAGTGACTAAATGGACAGAATCGTTATCGTCATAAACAATGTGTAGAATATAAAACCACCATGCAGTAAAAAAGAATACCTGAGTGTAAATAATCGAAATTACAGGCACATAAACAAACATATCAACTGGAAACACGAGATTCAAAAGTCGCAAATGCGCCTCGCCCGTATCTTCGTTTACCTGTAATTACATACGTATATAATTCATTCTGCAATGACACTATACCTCCAGCTTAACTAGATCGGCTGTGCGCATCAATATGTTAATGCATGCAAATGTTTTCACGAGTGAAACCAGGAAATAATTAGTACTGGTATTGTATGGCTAGAGTTCTGAAGACAAGACAGATGTATAACAGCAGTATAAACGCAAGCATACATATTTCTACTTAGTTAACTTATTTCTAATGACAATATGCCTCCAGCTAAATTGCATCGGCACTGCGCACTAATGTATAAATGCACGCCTATGTTTGCTTTGGTAAAACCAGGAAATAATTAGTACTGGTGTTGTATAGCTGGAGTTTCAGGGATAATAAAAGTCTATTATAGCATATATATGCGTACATATATGTACATGGTTCACATATCACTAATGTCACTATAACTCAACGTTCAATGAATCGATAGTGCGTTTCAATGTATCAATGTATGCCTAGGTGTATTTTGGTAAAACCAGGAAATAATTATTACTGTGTTTATATATGTCTCGCTCTCAAAAGAAAAAAAGCTTTAATGCCATATATATACGTGAAAATTTGACCAATTTACATAATATATTAATTTATTAGTTCACTTCGGTAAAACCAAAACAATAATTAACCATGGCATTGTATGGTGGAGTTCTGAATTGAATAAGTTTGCATACACATTTGCATACGTATACGTACATATTTCAATGATTCTCAATTACAATAGCATCCAGCAATATTCTGTTGGAAAAGCAAGCTACCGACATGCATGATGATGCAATCGTTGCAATGCAAATGTACACAGTAAGTATTTAACAATACCGTTAACACTTTAGTATTCACCAATAAGTGACAGAACACGTTGATTTATTAATGAATGGCACAGGAGATGAGGAAATATAATGAAATGCAGTTTCAAATTATTAAATATATATTACAGCTGTGTTCATTGCGGAAACATTCACCAACGTCAGCAATTTGTCTGATATAAAATGCACTTAGCTACTTAACACATTAATATGATGTGAGATTTTGAAGGTTACACGTTAGTATGAGTGAAACGATCATAAATATATGAACAAAATACTATAATATCTAAATCAAGCATATAATGGAAAAAAAGTAATTTCTTTTAGTATTTATGTAAATACATATTTCCTGGTTCTGTCTTCCTGTTCGTGATGTTTTTCAAACGTAATTTTTTAGCTCATATCTGATATTGAGGGTGAAAGGGGAAATTCCATAAAATAGTTTACTGAATACTGTATGTAATGATTGCTACTTTCACATACGAGTTTAAGAGTTAAGTGTAAATTTGTAATGTATACGTATCATAACTTATTATACATCTGTTACCGTAACGTCATAAGTTACAGCGTGCCGTAATTTTGCGGTATTTTACGGGGTATTTTATTCCTACCATATTAGGAAATGAGTATTCCAAATATGGAATGATTACGCGCGTAAACGTTCTCCAATAATAAAAACAAACATGGCTGCGCGTCGGTCGATACTGCCGCCGTACTGCTTTCATGCATACTTTGAAGCATCTTCGTAATAACCTTATATTATTTTATTTGTACTGCAAAATACATACACTTTCGTGTTTAGGAACATTGTAAACACACACAAAAAATAAAACATAAATGTGTCATTAAAATGTTTATTGATAGAACATTCATGGAATAATGCAACCAATGTTATGCCAGCAGTACTTGTGTGAAAAAAATATAGTCTGAGACTCAAACGGAGTGTATATGCCATGAGATGGTCATGACATTACATTATTCAGAAGACTGTTTAAGATGCTATGATATCACAACTTTATAAAATTCTAATACTTCATTAGTTATCAACATGACATAACGCCTAACAGTTACCAGGTTGTGGAAGAAATAATTGTATGTACTCTTATATGGCCTTATTAACCAATCAGTTATACTGGAAATTAAGGCACTTGGCGAAGTTCTTTGTCGCCTAGTGGAGTTTGGTACCACCATGGCGGTGGTTCGAATCACATCTAAACATTCACACATTTGATTTGAACATTTTACTCGAAATCTGTTCAATTTGAAACATTTCAGAAAACAAAATCACCAATGATGTTTCAACCCAAAATAACAGACTATAAATGTTTCATAAAGTGTTAATGTATAAGACACATTTGTGTTCCCATGAGAGTAAACAAAACACTTTTTTTCGATTTTTTTATTTTTAAATACTTTAGAAAACAAACACAAATGCAATGTTTCAACTTAAAACACTCGACTATGCATGTTTCACAAGTGTTTATGTACATGCCATGTGCACAGGTTCATAAAAGTAGCTAAAATTAATTTAAAAAAAATGCTCACACACGTCACCATTGTCAGTAGACAAGTAGTGATAAATTTATTGATTTTGGTATTTTTAATATGTTGCGAGTGTGCACGGTGTTGTTGCTCGAGTTACTAACCTGGATGACACAGCGCTTAAACATACGTTAATTCTCTGTTATCTAATCATTATATTCATTTTTATAGCTATTATTCTATTGGTGGAGCCTCAATGCTGAATTCAATCTACCGGTAATATGGTGAGTGACAAAAACTGTGCAAATTTAAGTATAATTTAAACGAGCTCCGTTAAGTCTCTTATTCATACATAACCATCATTTAGAAATTTCATTAATGCAATAAAGATTTTGAGATACATTGCGTAAACGACGTTTTTCATAACGAACACTATGTTGTGTGTTTAAGTAACTTGTAACTTGTCTCGTGCGCAAGCTCATTCATGTGGAGTATGTTGACTGTTTTTAGATTTTCTGAAGAACCGAAAGTTATCCTAAATAAGCCCAAAGCTAGGAAGACACTGTTTCTCCGTTACGAAACGTGTGGAAAGTGTAATTGATAGAAGCAGCGTCGGCAGCTGTATACTGCATCGTTATTGGCAACGGCCTCCTTTCATTTCAATATGTGCGGGATAAATGATTAAACACATGCTTATTAAGTTCATGTATTTCCAGGAGAATTCCGTACTACATAACTTCTATGCCGACATCCCCCAGAGACATGATCTTAGATATCAAATAAAATCACAAAAATTTAATAAGAAAATGCAGTTCAAATCGTATTAATGTTGTGTGGTTAATATTTTAGTTATATTTGTGGTTCAAATATTGCATCGCTTGAAACAATAATGATAATTAAACATTACTCACTGAATTTTGATACTATACATTTCGGATTTTAAGAAAAAAGATCGGAGCGGACAAAATTATATTGCTAAAATCGGGAATTAATTTTGTTAATATGGGCTATTGTTCCTTCCGTGATCCATGCAAGGTGAATATAGTTTTGAAATACCAAATTTCCGGTTTAAGGAGGTGAAAATAAGCAATCAAACCGTTTGACGGAGAGAAAAGTGAAATAGAATGGATTTAGAGCATATATACAGATTCGAGGATCGGGTGAGAATGTGATTGCAATACGAATACATTAATTTCTGGAGATGTTTCTCTCAAATTATTGATTTTTTATTATTTATTATTATTTTTTCTTATTTTGGTTATGTTTATTATTTTCCCGGGAATTTGATGTACCAAGAGAGATTGGGCACTTTGTGTCAATAAAAAAAGGGCTAAAGATGTCATTGTTCGTTTCTATGCATTACTCATCCGTTTTGAAGTGTCAATGTTCACAATTATATGGTATTGTATCCAGAGTTTCACGAAAGGTTTGAATTTCAGTAAAAACGGTTATTCAGCGACAACATGTAAGTCGAGGATACTTCTTCATGCGATTGATGTATTTTTTTAAATGTTACACTCAGATTTACCTTATTAATGTTAATATTAATTTAGGAATATATATTCACTTGATTATGTGATTTGTTTACGTGTTTCTATTGGAAACACTTTACATAATGTGTGATGTGCAAAAACAATCCTGAAATGTTGCAATAAAAATATTTACTAACTGCTAATGTTTTCATCATATCACTTTCTGTAATTAAGCAGATTATAAACACTTTAAGTGTTTTCAAAGTGGAGTCAAAACAGTGAAAATTCTTGGTAACAATGTAAATGTTAACATGACATTAAAATAAATGCTGGTGTCTGAATTGACATCAAATATATTGGCCCTGAATAATGATACATTCAGTCCAAATTTCTGGATTAAAACCGTCAACAACAGAATATTTTTCACGGTAACCCTTCTTGCGTTCATTCGCCACTGGATAGGCATACTGTACACATTTTTGTCCATGATAGTCATGACGTAATGCTAGGTTGGCAGCACGAGATGCCCCAGGTTACGACATCCGTTTTTTAGGCATACTGCATCGAACTACCCGATGAATACAAAAAAATGAGGTTCCACATAATAAAGTTGTGTAAGGGTGAATAGAAAAGGCATAA